TACTTTAATAAAAATTATATCTATTAAGATATCAATAAATATAATGTGGGATTTATTAAATTATCTGAATTTAGTAAATGTTTTTGGAAATGTATGGACTTAAAGTTGATTTTTTCTATTTGTAAGATAACGTTTATTTTGAAATGAAGAAAGTAAATAATTCTTTAGTGTGAGTACCCAAACTCGAAGATACTTAATAGTTACTACCCAACATAACACATGGACAATGCTAATATTAGCTTGTCAAATCATTATTCTTTTGTTGATATATTTTCTCAAAAATATTCATCACGCAACATGGATAAAATAGGAAAAATAAACACATGGTATATATATATATATATACACGTACTTTTTTATGTGCATTAGGTGCTTATCCACTCATATTGACTTTATGTTAACACTCCCATTTTATATTTGTATTACGTAATGTACACGTATAGCTAAGGATGTGGGTGTATTATTTGAATACGAAGCATGTGTATTTCATCGATCAATAAAATTTAGTGCTTTGGTTACTTGAATTTTATCGTTTGGTGAGAATTCGATTTCCTGCACAACTTTCATGCAGCTTCTTGGATATTTTTAGTTGCTCGCTACTTTAATAACAAATTTAAAAGTAAACAATCTGTCTACCCCGACCAACACATACTAAGATAAAATCTACTTATATTTCACCTTCGCTAAATTCACTTATGAAATCTCACTGAGTATCGTTGTTGTTATGATGACTAAATTCAATGAGATTGGAAGAAATATGGGCTTTTGTAGGCCTAGTAGACCAGTAAATTGGGCTTTAAAACTTATTGATCTGAAAGATGTGGGCTGAAATGGCTAACTGGGCGTACTCAATGGATTTTTCTGAATCCAGCTACAAATACATGGCATACATTTTTGTTTATCTTTACATATACTATAATTCCTAAATCGTGAATAATTAATACATACGTCACTTTGGTTTATAATTTAATCTTAGTAAATTTATATAATTTGATAGTAACACAATAAAATGTAATTTATTGGAAGAACTTTCACATATAGACACTCAAAAATAGCCTAATTACTCTCAATAACTATAGTTTGATAATTGAAATACGTAGCTACATGTTAAAGGGAGGAGAGAGGCAAGCGAGAGATGACAAAGAGTGGTAGAGAGATGAATTGTATATGTATACCAGTTAGATGATTGTATATTATAATCATATATTTGTATATATGGCAAGCGAGATCGAGAGAGGGAGGTGAGAGGCGAGCGAGTGGGAGACAGGTTAATTATATATGTACATCGGTTAGATGATTGTATACTATACATATGCATTTGTATATATGACAAGCAAGATTTGGAGAGGGAGGAGAGAGGGCAGAGAGTGGGACAGGGGTGGATTATTTTTATATATCGGTTAGATAACTGTATATTATACATATATATCTGTATACACTGGCGAATTATACATTTACAGAAGTGGCTAATTATACAAACTCGAAGTAAGCCCACGTAATTCATGTATAATGTTAGTCGCGAATCGTAATTATTGCAAACTATTGCTATGATGAGTAATTAAGTATTATAAGTTTGATTAACCACGTAAATTTTTCGATTAAATATTGAAAAAATTTGATTACCGCAGACCTATATTTAGGCCTAAGACTTGAGGCCAAAAGTTATTAAAACATTTATTTACAGTAATTATTTCTTATCATTTGTATTTTTCGTTTGATAAATTTCTATTTTCTCTCTTTATCAATTTATATCATTATATTTTTTAAAGAATGACACCTTCTAAACAAATACTTGTGAAGTTACGATTCATAACACGTGAACCAAGTTTTTGATCCGATTAATAAGCTTCTTATGATCATTGAGCAAACATAATTATTAATCTAACCCCCCAAAAAATACAAACTAATTTAATTTTTTTCATAGAATACTTTGAAGGAAAATACTTTTTCCTTCAGATTAATTTTTCAAAGCTTAAGTGATGTTTAGGACTTTTGATTTATTTAGATACTAAAAATTCTCGAATAATTTAATTAAAAGTTTATAGTGATAAGTTGAATAACACTAGAACTAAACTAGAATATAGCATTAATTTAGGGATTAAAAGTGCAAATTTAAGGGGCTGGTCATCATGTTATCTCTAAATGAGTAATTAAGCATTTAACAGTAATTGAGAGAGGTATTAATATGGAGCTTAATGTCGTCCATAATTCCCTCTTATTACACTATTGAGAAAATTAAGAGCACCAATTACCTTATTAATTATCATCCTTTTAATTCATCCTATCCTCTAAAACAAAATTCAATTCCCCATTGGCTTTAAGAACAATAATTCTTCCTTTTTTAAAAAAAAATTAAAAATAAATATATTTATCCCTAATTTAATTTACTGGGGGCGAAAATGGATAAATATGAACTTATTTTGGGTACGTTAGAAAAAAGTTTTTTTTTTCTACCTCCACCTAAATATGTATATTATTGGCCTTATACTTTATATCTTAGCATTTTATGATTGTAACTGATAAAGCAAAAAAGTAAATTCTAAATGATTGGCAAATCATTTTTCTTGTTTCTCATAAAAAAAGTCTTATTTTCTTCACGTTTATACTGTTCAGTTGCTAAAAAAATTACATGTTTATTTGACTCTTACAAGATGAGTATAATAATGGCCTAATAATTGATATTTTAGCATCTCATGATTGTTGATAAAACATAATAAAATAAATTATTAGAATTTTTTTTATAAGCTATTTGTCGTATTTAAGCCAAGAGTAAAAACTCAATTTTTTTGACATTTTCTCAATTTAATCATTCTTCTTCACGTCTATACAATTCATTTGCTAAAGAATCTATATGTTTATTTATCTCTTACCAATTGGCACGTTTATTGCTCGTTAATTATTTGTCTCTTACTAGATGTGTAAAATAATGACCTTATAATTATTGTTTTATAGACCATTGGTATAACATAAAAAATATATTTTAAATGATTAGATTTTTTTTATCTAGAAAAGTTGGTTTTTAGAAACTTTTGTAAATTATATGACGTACTTAAATTACGGGTAAAAGCTATATTTAGTTTGAAATTTTTCTAGATTAACTAATCTTTTTCATGTCTATATCATTCATTTGTTATCTTTATAATAATGACCTTATATGTAATCGATAGTTTAGCCTCTTATCATTGTTGGTAAAACGAAAGATGAAATTCTAAATAATTGGAAATATATATTTTTTGTACCTAGGATTTTTTTTTTTTTGCATATGAGAGTAAAAACCCATTTAATATATTGATCAAATCTACATATTTATTTATCTCGTGCCAAATGTGTAAAATAGTGACCTTATAATTGATATTTTAGCATTTTATGACTATTGGTAAAACAAAAAATAAATTGAATGACTAAAGAGATATTTTTCTTGTATCCCAGGAAAATAATTTTTGTGATTTTTTATTTCTGTTTATTTTTTATAAGTTACATCATGACGTACTTAAGCCAGAATTAAAAGCTCCATTTTGTTGAATTTTTTTAGACTAACCAATATTCTTCATGTCTATATTATTATTATTTTGTTAAAAAGTCTACGCACTTATTTATCTCTTGCAAAATAAATTTGCACATTTATTTGTCTTTTATCAGATGTGTCAATAATATCCTTATAATCGATAGTTTAGAATCTCCTAATTGTTGGTAAAGCAAAAGGTATTTTACGTTATAACAAGAATAACTTTTAACGGCAACAAATAGATACATTAATAAAGAGTGTTAAAATCTTTACTGACATTAGTTAAGTGTCATTTGATCCAATTTCACTAATGCCTTTAGAGACATATACAAAAAATGATAATTACCGCTAAAAATAGATATTTAGCGACAACTATAAATTAATTGCCGCTAAAACTTATTTTTGATGTAGTTCTAAATGGTTGAAAAAACATTTTTCTTGTACCTCAAAAAAAAACTTTAATTTTTGTATAAGCTACATGACTTAAGTGTATATGCTGGACATTAAAAAAAGTCATTTCATTGATAGTTTTTCAAATTAACCAATCTTCTTTACGTATATATCGTTCAATTGATGAAAATTCTACATATTTATTTATCTTTTATGTTCTTGATTTATTTATTACCAAATATGTACAATTAGTAATGTCCTTATAACTCATTTTTTTAGTATGACATGACTTTTCCAAGTTTATTATTTGATGATCATATGGTCTTTATATTAATAAATAAAATAGATACAATTACAAAGCTGAGGGGAGTATAAGCCCAACCCACTGTTCCAAAGCTTCACAAAAAGTAATGCTTAGGCAAAAGTTGTACTATAAGTTTTTCACAAATATATGTCTAGTGGGATAGGTAAAAATAATCATAATTTTCAACTGAATTAATTCTATACAAAATAACTCTCTTTTGCTTATATTTTAGGGACTTCATATTTTGAGATCAAGTTTATAAGTCCAGTATCCAGAATGTTTCATTTTTCTAAAGTATTCGCGATTTGATTAATTTTCTTTTAACAAATTTGAATCTAGCAATAAAATTTTTTTAAAAATATTTTGACCACGAATAATATCATTCTTTATTCGTCAAACGTAATTTTCCTTTAATCAAAGATTACATTATTATTCTACTTTGAAAATACTATTTTTGGCTATTTAGAGTAGCCTTGACTTTGAGTTTATTGCTAACATCTCATGACTATTAATAAGAAATAAATAAATTAAAACTCTAAATAATTAAGAAACCATTAAACTTTTTTAAAAATTATACAATAATGAGGATTAATTAAGGACAGCACTAATCTCTCCCACTTTTAATTTCTTTCTACTGTTGACACAAAGAGGAAGCTCAGGAGTTACACTTACACCTCATTTCTAAACCGTTGGATTGTTTTTTAAATCAACGGCTGAGATTAATCCTCACCTCTCTATATACATAGTGATAACATATTATTAGCTATTTTTATGTCTATATCTTCCAAACCTAGAAGAAAACTCACTCACTTTCCTTTTATTCAAAGCAAATTTTTTTGCTGAAAATATTCCTTTTTTTCTTCTTCTTTCTTTTCCATGGAAGGAGAAAGTGCTTTTCTTCCTTATCAAAATTTATCAAAAAATCATCCTCCTCCATTAACAGCCATAGATAGGTTTTTGTTGAGTCATGAAAATTATTTTCCTCAACAAAAAAATAATAATGAAAATGTTTTTAGTGACTTTTCTCATCATTTTGTTGGTGGAAATGCAAGTTTTAGTAGCCATGCAAATGGTATATCATGGCCAAATTTGCCAGAGCCAAGTGTTATGGAAGGGTTTTATATGAATGAAATACAAGAAAATAATGGTTTGTTTGATCATGAAAAAAATAAAGTTAAAGAGAGTGGAAAAAAAGTGAAAGAAGGAAATTCATCAACAAATTATTTGATCAAAGGTCAATGGACTGATGAAGAAGACAGGTATACGTTCTACTTCATCAGATCATACTTGTGAAATTATACTGAATATTTTACTGTTACTGTTGTAGTTAATTTTAATTTTTTTTGGGATTTATTAAGGAAATTGCTTAGGTTGGTAAAACAATTTGGAGTAAGAAAATGGGCACAAATTGCTGAGAAAATGGAAGCAAGAGCAGGAAAACAATGTAGAGAAAGATGGCATAATCATCTACGACCTGATATCAAGGTTTTTTTTCTCCTACGATTGTTATTCTATTAATTAATTTTTTCGATCTAATATTTTTTAAAAAAAATTCATAGTTTTTTTTTTCTAGTACACTACTTTTCTAACTATACTTATTAATTTATCTCATTTTCTCTAGATATCTGGAAATAAGATGATCTATGAACAAAAGATTTTTGGGTGATGATGTTTTAGTCACTTAGATTTATTACATCGTCCGTTTTTATATGATTTATTTGTTATGTGTACTCAATTATTTCCAAAAGACTAATTTCAAGGCCTTTTGTTGTTTTTTTATTTTTAGAAAAATGAACGATCCCTCTATTAGAAAAGTTTTAGGATGTTCTTTCAAGTCCAAGAAAAAAAAAACACAAAAATGTTGGTATCTAATAGAGTTATCGATCATTTTTTACAAAGTTCAAAAAAATAAATCCTCATGTCGTTTTGCTTCTCTGAAAAGACACTTAATTACACTTTCGAGCTGACATTAAGCAAGTTCTTTCTGTTATGATAAATCGACAATACAAACATTTTTTTTTAGGGTTGGACCAAAAAGGTTAATTGATTTTTATGGTCTTTTTACCTCTTTTTGTTCACTACAAAAAGGTGTCATTAAATTTAGGGTTTGATTTTAGTTAATTTTGTTTTCATTCTTTTTAACAATTTTTTTGACTCATTTCAATCCTTCGTTTTCTCGTGATTGAAAAAAAAACTTTTTCTTTGACAAAGCGTCAAAGTTTGTTATAGAAGTGTGTCCACCTTATTCATAAAAGTAATTTAAAATATAGATTTCTTGTAAATCATAAACATCTTTAAAAATTTTTTTTTAATAGAAAGATACATGGAGTGAAGAAGAAGAATTATTACTAGTGGAATCACACAAGCAACTTGGAAACAAATGGGCTGAAATTGCTAAAAGAATTCCTGGAAGGACTGAAAATGCAATAAAAAATCATTGGAATGCTACTAAAAGAAGGCAAAATTCAAGGAGAAATAAAAACAAAAAAATTCAACAAGCTGGTGATGATGATACTCAATGTGAACGCAAATCCTCCTCCTCTCGTTCCACCGTTCTACAAGATTATATTAAAAGCAAGTACTTCATGAGTGATGACAATTCTCCCCCAACCGCCACCGCTTTTAACGGTGGGACTTATAGTGGCGGTGGATGCAGTTCCACCGCCACTACTTTCACCGGAAGTACTCCACCGTACTCCGAAGATGATTCTCCGTCTTTGATGACTCATCAAACACATGATGAAGAAATGAACTTCATGCAAAGTTTATTTGGACATGACAATATTAATACTATCGAGCCACAAGTAGTAACTCAAGATCTTCTCAACAAGAGCTCGTCTGATTTGAACTCCTTTAGTAAAAATTCATTGACTCCGTGTAACGTTCAGAGTTACACTCCTCAATATTATCCTCCGGACCTATACCTATCGTACCTTCTAGATGGTTCTAATTATTTTGGATGTGGAAGCATGAATAATACTAATCAAGGTTGTTCAACATCAGGAGGAGGAAACATTAAGGAAGTTGATTTGATGGAGATGATTAATTCAACTAATTCTCAATTATCTCAAGCTGGAACCTTCAACAAAAACTTCTTTTAATCTTAGTATTATTATTAATTATTATTATTATGTTGTAGATTTGGAGTTAAAAAAAATATTGTGGGATAGTAGTACTTTTTAGTTTTGTTTTTGTTTAATTATGGATTATCTTAATCTTGTCGTGTTTTAAGAATGATTAATGGTTCTTGTTTTATTATAGTTTTCAGTTTTTTTTTTGAATAATTCGTTACATATTCGTCATGTTTTATGTGAATGCCTTTAACTGTTAATAATCCCTTTTTTTCTAACTATAATTTTGTCAAACCTTTTTAAAATCTTTGAATTATTAGTATTGACCACCATAATTTATATTTAGAATTCTTCTTTTTATTATACTAGAATTCATCGATGTATACAAACTAATATATTATGTAAAGTAAAATAACAAAATTTTTGCATAATTTACAATGTCTTTCCGTGTAATTTCAAATATATAAATTTTATTTAAAATTTTAGAAAATTCATGTACAAATTTATGATCAAAGTTACATTCATACTTAATATTTTGTACTTACATATATTGAGAGATGAAGTATAGATATATATATTATTCTCAAATCCCTTTTTCCGTTTTTGTTTTTAATCTTTTGTGGTGGCTTTCTGTTAACTAAAGTCGAAAGTGAAGGGAAATATATAGAAGATTATTCTCTTCGTTCTATATTTTTTATCGTATAATTCATTTTTTAGAAAGTTAATTTGATTAACTTTTGGACAAATTAATAATTGACTCAGATTAATTAAATATTATAAAATTACAATGTAGATATTTAAAATTATAGAAAAAATACTGGTAATTTTTGTAACATTAATATGATAAAAAAATATATTATAAAATATTAGTCATAATATTCATATAATTTGACTCTTTAAAAGTGAAACGTGAAAAATATTTTATTTCGGAGAGAATAATAGTTAGCTTCTCGTTAGGCCAACTCTTCGTATGTTGTCGCCTTCTTGTTTTTTTCATGATGATGCAATTATGATTAATTCCGTGACATTATTATTGATGTCACTTTAATCATATCCTTATCTGATTTTTATACTTATAGAGAGGAGGGAATATTTGTCACAATTATTAAATTACATCAATAATAAGTTTATTACACTATTTTGTTATAATATAGTAAATAATTAACGCAAATGATTATATATAAAACTGAATTATCTTAATTTAGACAATTTAACCAATCAACTCCACCTTATTTCACATTCAAAAATGTATCAATGCTAAGACATTACTAACATATTTACATCCATAACTTAAATGTTTTGATCATCTGTATTATGTTAAGACTCAACTAAAAAATACTTGTGAAATGTTCAATAATTAAAAAAAATTAAAATAATACTTCCACATTATTTGACAAATGTCAAAAGATTAATTTCACGTATGTCATGATTCATCAATAATATGTGTTAACTGTTAACGACTTTTACATGTCGATAACACATGATTTTTACTTCGTTTTTTTTTTTTTGGTTCAAACACTATTTGCAAGGAGTTCAATGTGAACAATTCTTTATTTCATACGTTTATAATGTGAAGAGGTTAGATCCTTCTCAACTGTTTTTTTTCTTAAAAAAAAGATTGTTTTGTTTTTTTCTAGTTTTTACAGACAACTCTTAGTGGTATTTTCTTCATAAATTTCATCAATTTATCCTTTGTTTGTTTTTACCTGCACCTTTTACTTGAAAAGTTTAGTTTATGAACGTTTTATTGGTGAAAAAAATAAGTGAAAAGAAGTACCAAACGGCCAGCTTTCCACAGATTAAGCAAAGTCTGTTTACTAAATATTTTGTGAAGTGTCACAAATTAAAATTGATATAAATATATATATATATATATTATTTGGTTTACTAAATAATTTTATTTAAAATGAAATTTAAGCAGCAATATTACAAAATAAAGTAGTATTGTTCCTACAGAGATTGTACCTATCAATACTCATGATATTATTGCAAAATTATTGAATATGATCTTTTATTTGATAAGAATGATATTATTATTTAGTGATCAAGGTAATTCCATTTTGCGTTTATAGTATATGTTTAATAACGATATCATACTTATCAATTAAAAGATCGTATTCAATAGTTTTTGCAATGATATCATGAGTATTGATGAGTGTCTTCTTTTGGTTAAAGTTATTGTCATTTCTATAGCTTATCGAATATGTCATAAATAGAATGAGATTACTTCTTTTCGAGATAAGAAATTGTTCTACATTAAATTTCAGGTGTTACACCATTTATCAAGACCATAAAAAAGTGATATTATGGCAAATTTAGATAATCCTAATCGACGATTTGTTTTGTAATATCGTTGTACAAGCATGGGGATATTTAGGTCAATGTGTTAGAGTAGTAAGCACTCTATTATAGTGAAAGAAGTCTATTGAAGAACTTAATCTTGTTTGAGGCCTTAATTTTCAAATCAATTGAAGCTATTTTTATAATTTTAAATTATATTATCCATTTGGAGTCTAAGAGCTTTTAAGCAGATATATTGCGAATATATCATATGAAATTAGATGACACCTAACTTTATTATTAATGGAAATCTTAATATTTAATTTCCTCGTTGCGATTTGAAGGATACAACCTTTAACGCTGTATTGCTTTAACAAGAGTAGTACGAATCATAATTTTTTTTATAAAAAAATTGTCTTCTCACTTCTGCATAGCGACTCTAATGTTTAAGTAATTAATATTGAAAATCATTGTTGTAAGTAGGATTTTTATAAAAAATAATAATAGGAACATCAAAATATATTTCAAAGTTGTACCAAACGACCCCTTAGTTTACAATTGGACTTGCCAAAATTATTGTATTGGGCCAGTAGATTGGTTAAAGCCTATAAGAGTATAACAATTCTGATCTGTAGTTGAAGTATTTGATATATATTCCAGAAAAAAGATGTTGAGATGACTGAATTGAATAATTACTGCTCCCAAAAAACCAAAATTGATAGATGCTTCATTTCACTTGAATGAGCATCTGAACAAACCAAATATATAATCAGTAGTTAATATGAAATCTTCCTTTGGGTTCTACTACTGCCTAGTGCCTACAATGACTTGTATATAGGGAAAACCTTGGTGTTTTATTGATACACAGGCATGACATTGTAGCGTCAAGACATCTTAGCCCTGGCGAAAAGTACTCCAGCAAGTAGACCTAAAAGCATTGGCATATTTCAGTCAATAAGAGTGTGCACTAAAATTTTCAAGAATAGGATATGGATTGTTGACGTTACCGAAAAGTATGCTGAATAAGTTTGGGATACTGAGAGGAACTTTGAACACCAAAAGGCCAGCAATAGAAATGGGAATCTTGTTTAAGGAACCCACAAGACTGTGAAGAGGAGAAAAGAGTATAGGATTAATCATGAAGTCTTGACTTTCAAATATACCTCATAAAGCAAGAATGACTCTGATACCTCTTTTCAAGTAAACTTTTAAGCTTGAATTACTGTATCTTTACAATAATACAAACAAATATGAAGATCGTTTTGTTCCATTCTTTTTCTTCTTACCATTACAATGTGAGTTAACCTTATCTAACTGTCATCAGCCAAGACTTATAGAAGGCTTAAATGGCAGCAAATAATTCTACATCTTCAATCATTACTCCAATTCTCTTAAGAGGTATATGGAGAACACATAGGAAATAGAAAGCATGTCAAATATCCATCGAGATTAACATCGTCTCAAAGTGCTCAATTGGGTACATTTCTTGATCATCAACTAGCTAGCAGAATGCTTTTTTTATCACATAAAACATGTAATGCTAAGTAGTTCATGATGCAAATCCCCGAGAAAATTCAAGCGAGTATAATTTACCTGTAGGTGGTTGGACCAGTTTGTTTCAAAAACCACATTGATGTGAAGCTAATGGCTAGCCCAAGCAGCCCACTGGCTGTCGCAGCAACCCAAAACATTGGAATCTTAATTACATCCCTGCAAATGAAACAAGAATGGTATGGAACTGCAATATTCATTTGGGATCCCCAACGTGAAGGACTAAAAAGAAAAAGAGGAGACAACTGGGATGCTCCAAAGTGTAATGTAACACTTACGCATTAATTACGTAACGCCATTCATCGAACAGGAAGATCAAGATGATAGCAAAAGGTATAGATATCCCATTGTTCAGTAACACCATGGATACTTCATTAAGAGATCCAGATTTTGTAAATTGCTTTGCTCTGTCCATGACACGTCGCAATGTGAGCTGTTGAAAATTGATGCCCAATGAACATCAACAGATTAGGGAAATGAAATACATATACTTTGAAGTTTGACTTGCTATATGATTAATAGTTAAAATTTATGATTTTCTAATAATTCAAAGAAGTAAGAGAAGCCAATTTCTGTGCAAATTTTGGTACGAGCAGTCAAGATGAGAAGCAGAAAGTACATACTGAGTAGCTTGCAGTGAGAACGCAATTAACTGATTGCCAAGCATACCCCGTAGCATCGAATGAGAGGTCTGTTATACCTCCAGATACAGCAGAAATAATCTGAGAAAGAAATTAGCATCAGTAACAAAATGCAAAAATGCTTAGTAGGACTGCTGGGTAGTCTCGCATGATATTTTGATATAGACTATGATAACTGGATATACAACATTAGACAACGACCATTTTCCTTGAGGATCTGATCCCTCTGACAACTAAATATACATTGTATAGATGCATGACATAAACATACCATAACAAACATGGCAGTCCACACTTTCTGATTCTGCCGCTTCCCAAAAATATACAGCTCTCCAAGTGCTGTTAAAATATTTGTCACGTTCTTCAGAATTGTCACCATTGCAATATTTATGTATTTCAAACTGAAAAGGTGCACAAGTAAATGTCATTGGCATGGTGATGTACCACTGATCATTACCAAATCCATGGTGAGTTTTAGACATATCATATTACCTATACATGCCTGAAACAAGCATGCCAATGAAGATCAAATTCACGGGGATCCAAACTTTAATTAGCTTCCAATTGAGCTTCTCCACTGTAATTGCTCCAGAGCAACCCAATATACCAACTATAAGAGTACTGATAAGATTCTGCAAGAAGTACAAGTAGAATTAGCTTTCGTAAAATAACATCTTTAGACTGCAAGTTCCTAATACTAGAGAATGAATGTAATATGGGAGGGATTTATTTAGAGATTGTTAAAATCAAGGTTGAAAAGGATGTTGGACATGCAAATGGATGAACCAAAACTTTTCCACATGGGCAAATGATATTACATGCATAATTTTATTTTATTTTTGAAACTGGTAAGTTTATGATATAACATGCATAACAGTTAACCATAAGCATTAATGTGCCTCTTCTTGTTATTTCTAAGGGTGGAAAGATGGTCAAATATAAGTAGATAATACCTGGTAAAACATCAATGAGACCCCAGCGTTGAATGAATAACTTGAAAGGACAATTTTGTTCAACATGATCATACAACAAGAAGAAAGACAATATGCAGTTCCAGACAAAAGAGGGCCAGAATTTCTTCCAGATC